AATGTATCTGTAGCGCATGCATATCCAATTGACCGAATAAGGGATACAGAGTTTACATGTCATAACTATGAAATCGAATATTGATCTCAATTGTCATCCTATGAGCCATGAACACCGAAATGACGTGGAAGCCATTAGAAGTGATGCGAAGGGTCTTATCTGAGCAAGATGTGGCAATGTGATAACCTTGTATATATATATATATATATATATATATATATATATATATATATATATATATATATATATATTATATATATATATATGTCCTCTGAGTAATAACATATACGAAGTGAATTTCTGTAAGTAGTTTTCATAAACAGTGTTAAGTTCAAAAGCTTTTAAAGCTGTAAAAGATTTCTTCAGTCATAGAATGATGATTTTAAAAGGGGTCGTTTTCATAATTTCCTAAAATTTTACTTCCTCTGTGTCTTGAGACTTCTGTTCTAAAAACCTCGTTTCAAACAATGCATCAAACTTTGTTTGTTTCTTTCAATGTTTTTTATTTCTATGTTTTTTTTTATTCTTTCTATGCTTTTTGTTTCTTTCTACGCTTTTTTAAAAAATATAATCCCGACAACAGTGAAAAGTTCGTCTAGTTTGCCAGAAAACAACAAATACAGAAATTGGTTTTCTTTCCTGTTTTTCCTTTTTATTTTATTATTTTTTGTCTATTTTCTCACGGTCTTTATACAAAAAAGGTTCCCTATATGTGTTCTAATATAGTTTTCTATGTAGCAGACGACTAGTTAAAAAATGAAAATAAATAACAACTTCAACATTGATTAAAAATTCCCCTCTCGATAAAAATTATCAAGTCAGATGTTTCTTTTATTTACTTTCATCGTTATAGTTTCTTTTTTATTTCTTTTATTTGGCAGTCATATGTTACATTTTTTTGACATGACTTTCGCCATTTTTACAAGTTCATCCAAAACCGTGCGGCGAGAATTTTTCCCCCATACCATACATTCGATCTTTGCTTCGTAGAATATCGTTTTTTGTTCGATCGTTGAACACTTCATTCCAAACATTTTACCTGATTGGGAGAGTTAAAACTGGCATTAATAAAACACAATACAAGCAATTATAAAAGTGCCTTCATATAATATATTGTGTATAACGGCTCGGAGTGAGATATCTGAAACCCCAGTTACAATTCTAATCGGGTTCGTTATATTGATTTACTTGCAAATATCCTTGTGAAAGGCAGGAATCCATCTCTTTCCGCCATCTATGGGTTAGGTAGTAGGACTTATAGAAGAAAATGAATTTCATTTTAAAAAACAGTTAAGGTAATATTCACTAGCAAAAAAAGAATTATTCTTACAAACAAAAATATATGTTTCGGCTTTAAATATCCAACAAAGTGTTGATAGCACGTAAAAAACCAAATCACACGTATAATATGTCTTCTAAATGTTTTAATGTAACTTGTTAATGCAAACGTTACTCTACGACAATTTCTGCATTATTTGAATGAGTGTCTTTGAATTTATTTCTGTGTCAAAGAAAAATATGAATATTTAGACTACTATATTTCACAGTGGAGTAATTGATAGCGGCTCGGATTGAGTAATAGGAGGAATTAATTCCAGTCGAATCCATTACATTCATTTACGTGCTAATAACCTTGGGAAAGGTATGAATCCTCTACTTCTCCCCCCCAGCTATGGGTAAATAGCAGGACAGACCCGGTTCTATAGCTTTGGATGGCAACTGGTCTACTGCAGAAAGAAATGGCAACCTACTGCGGGAAAAATCTTCCTCGTCAGTCATGTATCGAAAGATACATGATCGCCTAAGCGTGTATCACGCATGGAACATAACAGACTGAAGCTTCCGTAACTTCCTCAGTTGTTTGGGATACTACTATCCACTAATGATGTGGCCATTTTGAAGGTAATCAATAAACACAATACCTTTTTGCATCACCCCAAACTGAGGCTAAGCGGGTATCACGTATGGCACATAACTGTCTGATATTGACTGATATTGAAGTGTAACTTCAACTATAAAAATATGTTTTCCATCTTATACTTTGTAAAAATGTTCCATTAAACTGAGCAGAACGGCGCAATTAATCCACTGCAATAGGCCATTTAAAAACCTTAGAAAAAATTAAGATGTTGGTTAGAGTTTAAGCACTTGGCCTCTTCTTCTTGAGACACAGAATAATTTGGGGAAAATATCAGTAATTATAAAAATATTGCAAGCCTCTCTCTATTCTATTGCTATTTCCATGCGAAAGTTTCTGACCAGCTACAATCAACAATTCCATCAGTTCAGACATTTACGGCTGAAATTTCTCCATGTTATGTACAGGGTCAAATCATCCTCATTCGGACAGCTTCTTCCCGAGAACCGCTACTTTGTGGGTCGGACACATGAAAGGATTCTTCCCTAAAAGCAGATAACAGTTGAACAGAGCTTTGAAGAGTCGCTGGTCAGCTGTTATCTACTGTCAACAAACTCATTCAGTAAGTGTCTACTTTGTGTGAATCTTGGACATTGTGTGAACAACAGCAATAAAAAAAAATAATTAATAGAATCAAAGGCGACAGTTAACATAAACTCTACTTCCTGATAAATGGGATTCAACGGAAAGTTTCAATTACAAATTGCTGAAGCGAAGACGAACGGCTACTGAGAAACACTCCAGTGAGCGTCTGTCTTAATGACATCGATTTTTTAAATAATTCCAAACCAAGCAAGGCAATAAAGCCACGAAAACACAGGGGATTATTGATTGTTAAAAAAATGTTAAAAAAAAAAACAATATAATTAAATTCTATAAAGCCTCGGTACGATAGCAGAATGTTCATCAGAACAGTTAGGATGAATGTTTTCATGGAAAAGCTACATAACGACGGTGGTAAATTAACTGAAGCCGAGATGTTAGGTCAAGACCAATTATATTGCATAGTCTTCTTCAGATTTTATCAAGAATTTCAAAATATATAGTACGATTTCAAGACCATATGTGGTAGCAATATTCAAAGCATGGTCGAATGGTAGAGATAAATATGTATGATATAAAAGACACAGATAGATAGATAGATAGATAGATAGATAGATAGATAGATAGATAGATAGATAAAAATGAGATCTAAAAAAACTCCAATAGATAGATAGATAGATAGATAGAGAAAAGTGAGATCTAAAAAAACTCCAATAGATAGATAGATAGATAGATAGATAGAGAAAAGTGAGATCTAAAAAAACTCCAATAGATAGATAGATAGATAGATAGATAGATAGATAGATAGATAGATAGTGAAAGAGATCTAAAAATCTGTAATAGATAGATAATAAATAGACTGAGATAGATAGATAGATAGATAGATAGATAGATAGATAGATAGATAGATAGAAGTGAGATCTAAAAAAAACTCCAATAGATAGATAGATAGATAGAGATAGATAGATAGATAGATAGATAGATAGAAGTGAGATCTAAAAAAACTCCAATAGATAGATAGATAGATAGATAGATAGATAGATAGATAGATAGTGAAAGAGATCTAAAAATCTGTAATAGATAGATAATAAATAGACTGAGATAGATAGATAGATAGATAGATAGATAAAAGTGAGATCTAAAAAAACTCCAATAGATAGATAGATAGATAGATAGATAGATAGATAGATAGATAGATAGTGAAAGAGATCTAAAAATCTGTAATAGATAGATAATAAATAGAATGAGAAATAGATAGATGAGATAGATAGATAGATAGATAGATAGATAGATAGATAGTGAAAGAGATCTAAAAATCTGTAATAGATAAAATAAAATAGACTGAGATAATAGATAGATAGATAGATAGATAGATAGATAGATAGATAGATAGATAGATGAAAGAGATCTAAAAAAAACTCAAAATAGATAGATAGATAGATAGATAATAAATAGACTGAGATAGATAGATAGATAGATAGATAGATAGATAGATAGATAGATAGATAGATAGATAGATAAAATTTTGTGAAAGATCTAAAAACTCCAATAGATAGATAAATAGATAGAGAGAGATAGATAGATAGATAGATAGATAGATAGATCATTTAAATTTATTACATTAAACCATATTCTAGATTTTTCGGCAAAGTTGCAGTCGTGCAATTGGAGCCGGTTGTATGTCATAGTAATGCCTCTCATCTTCCCCGTCTCTTTCCCTGCTGCATTCAATGCAAGACGCAGCAAGCATTTCCATTCCTCTCGGAATGTAATAACGCCTGTTTGCAGGAGGATTTTTCCGCATGCAAAGTTCGCAAGCGAGATCCCTTAAACATTAAATTTATCGATCCGGAAAACAGATTTACGGAGAGCCTTGCAACTTCTATTCATTACTGCTGAATCCTACATCGACAAACATGCGCACACGTGAACCGTATACCCACACACGGACACATACGCACACGCGCGCGCGCACACACACACATGCACAAATATATATGTGTTTGTGTGTGGCGGTGGCGGGGCATGTGTATATGGACTATATGGGTGTTGCTTGTGTTAGTAGGATTTCGAATGGTACCTGAATATCAATGGAGAAATTACACAGTAAAAGAAATCACCTGTACCAATGATAGAAAAATAATAATAAAATCCTCACTGTGCAGCGCCATTTCTGTCGTCTTCAATGAAACCAGTAAAAAACAGGTATGGCTGCCAAAATACACACACACACACACACACACACACACACACACACACACACACACAAAATATATATATATATATATATATATATTACATGAATCATTCATACAAAAAACAGATTAGTGAAGTTAATGATATAGATGGCGAGAATACATCTTCGCAAACAAATTTATTAAAATTACGTTAACCCACGAACCTCTAGATGAATGTTATGAATTCAACTTGTATAAGGTCTTTTTTTGCAAGTACTTTCATCTGTCGATACAGACATCATCAGGCATGGAAATTGATTTGTTTCTTTAAATACATCCAGGTAATAACGGAACACAAAAGATTATATATATAATAAGATAGATAGATAGATAGATAGATAGATAGATAGATAGATAGATTCTAAACAGAGAATAGATAGATTGATAGATAGATAGATAGATAGATAGATAGATAGATAGATAGATTCTAAACAGAGAATAGATAGATAGATTCTAAACAGAGGATAGATAGATAGATAGATAGATAGATAGATAGATAGATAGATAGATAGATAGATAGATTCTAAATACATAGATAGATTCTAAACAGAGAATAGATAGATAGATAGATAGATAGATAGATAGATAGATAGATAGATAGATATGACAAAGTGGAAAAAGTTTTATTGCGACGGGTTTAATCCATTAGGACTTCATCGGACTAAATTTGTTATGTTGGTGCGACTACACATGCGCATGAACGAGGGATGCTGGGAATTTTATTTTATTATTTTTTTTTTAATCTAGCTGATTTCATTTAGATTCTTTTTCTTATTTAAAAAATTTAAAAAATAATTTAAAATTCCCAGTATAAGTGTGAAAAATGTATTTTGACTAGAAAAATGTCTAAGATGACCAACACCCTAGCAGTACCCCTGATTGATATGAAGCGACATAGATAGATAGATAGATAGATAGATAGATAGATAGATAGATAGATAGATAGCAGTAGTGGCTGGCCACTTGTATTCGATGATGCTCGTCTACTAGGGCGGTTAGCTAATCCCTGTTTTAGACGCCTGTTCAGGTACATTCTGTGTTTGTTCAACACTCTTGGAGCAGCAACTATGCTGAGCGGACCTTCCTTACAATTTCCGGGAGAGAGAGCGTTATCTAGCCTGTTTCAACAAAGGCCAGCACGTCCAAACCTCGTTCACGATGACTTGTGACGTCGCGCTAGCACAACCATCTACGGCTCCTCAATGGTTCCGTCTACTCAGTTTCACTTACAATGCTTGGGTCAACCCGTGGTATGGTTTTCAGGCACTTTTCAACATACATACATACGTACACACATACGAACTTCCAGGATCAGTACATTTAAACATAAGAACAGATTTCCGTGCAACAGTGGTGAGTTTATTCCGCACTGGGTGTTACATATATCTGGGTTTTTTTTTTTTGTTTTTAATGATGCTCTTTTTCAGTGCCAGCTATGACTCAGGAAGAGAAATTCGGGATTACTGGTAAAATGTAATGACATGTATTTAGCTTACACGTCAGACGCCTGAGAAATATTATTTATCAATGAACTATTATAAAAGTGGACTAAAAAAGTAGATATACAGTAAATTATTATACCAGGATTGTAATCAGTGTTATAATAGTGGTTTTATGTTCACTTTGTGCTTGAATAAATTTAATTCATTAAAATCATTTTTAATATTTTTATTTTCATGATTTTTGTTATAATACATTCAATAATTAATTTGCAGTTTAGCACCCGCATTCAGTGTGCATTCAAAATTTCCCAGAGTACATACATTTATGTGTAATTGTAAATGATTCATTCGAATCTGGCTTGATAAATTTGATAAAATCTACCGTTTTGGAGCTATCGACTGTAAAAGTTCGGATTTATTTGCATCGTTGGCGGCAGCCATTACTGTTTGCATGCATTCGTTGCGGAAATCTAAACGGGGAACAATATAGTTAACAGACTTTTTTTTACTGATTTCACTTGTCTCAATTACTACGCAAGATAACAATTTTTTCGTACACACGCTCAGTTTTGCCCTACGTGCAAGAAAAATTAATATTATACTTAATAGCTATTCCGCATCAAATGTATGCAAACAACACCTAGAAGAAGGAAGAAGAAGAAGAAGAAAGAGGAGGAAGAGAAGAAAAGTAAGTGTATTATAAATGTATCGATGGGGGCGGGGGTAATTGAAATGTCTTTTTTTATTCAGCCTCATATGTGCTTAAGAAGAATTTTTAGCATGTATGCAAGGACTCATGACTTCGGTTTCCTGATTCAAAAGGTTCTTTGGACCCGGAAATGTAATTGCTAATGTTTCCTGTTGGCAGAGATTTCAAATATTGTTGTGTTTTTTATAAGGCGTTGCCCTTTTTTTTTTTTAAATTTCCCAGGTTACAATCGGATCCCTGTTATTGTTTTTCTTTTGGAATATAAAAGAGCATTTGGAAAGATAAGAGTGAAGACGTAGGTCAACACTAAGCTGTGACAGTTTGTTTCCTGTTTGAAAACACTTCATGATATTAGAATAGCTTATAGTTCTTATTGGCATAAAAAACAGCAGCATTCAGAACATAGCAGCAAAATCAACAGTGGTGGCAGCTTAATCAGTGGGTACGTTTAGGTTTAAACACCTGAGTTTACTCTAGCAAATTATCGCACATTCGAGTGGATAAAGGCGCTGGCTTGTGAGTTTTAGTGACACAGTGGTTTTGAGTTAAATCGGGCAGTGTGTACTTTCACTCAGTGAAATGGACAAGCAATAAATGAAGTGTTAAATACAATAAGAACTAGACAAGATATCCCTAGACATGAGAAGTGGAAAGAGAACAGTCTACTCCCGTAGATTAAATAAAGGGTTCAGTTAAGAATTTTCTGTATATTAACCACATCGATATACACCTTAGGTAGATCAGAAAGAATGACAGCCTAAACGTTGTGACAAAAACAACAAAGATGATAACAATAGTTCAAATATAAATAGTGCAAATATGATGATGGACTCTCCCGTCAATTTCGACGTATGAGGTTCCGACAACTTTTTAATGACCCTTATGTTTGAATCTAGAGTGACATTTCAGACCTGCTAATGACTTGCAAAGAAAACCACAGATTGGGCAAGCGTGTGAGCAAAGAGGGTGCACTTCTCTGGCACCTTCTGAGGCTTTTTTCCTTTCTCTTGTTTCACGGAGCTTCACAACGCTTGCCGCCGAAACATTCCTGATTCCAGTGTAAGTTAGACTTTTCCAAGCTTTGCGATCCAAGGCAGTATTCTCCAAATCAGTGGGTGCAATATTTGCAGCTGCAAGGTTACTTTTCAGCTTATCTTTAAAACTGAGCAAGGGTCGGCCAACATTCCGTTGACCACCTTCAAGCTGGCTGTACATGAGAACCTTTGAAATTCTACCATCTTGCATCCGTCCAACATGACCGGCCCACCGTAACTAATATATATATATATATATATATATATATATATATATATATATATATATATATATGAGCTGTCTACAGATATATATATATGCCATCTCTTGACATGACATATATATATGAATTGTCTATATATATATATATATATATATATATATATATATATATATATATATATATATATATATGAGCTGTCTATATGTGTGTGTGTGATGTCCTGTGAATGTCTGATACCCAAGATCCTAACGTACAGCGAGTTAGTTCAGGGCTATAAGAATGTAGGATGCACATTGTTTGTCAGCTGTCAATATAACCTCATAACACCCTCAAGCGCTTAGCCTTGGAGCGAGTAGAATAGAGATCAACGTGTTTTAGTGAACTCAGTGGTTTTCAATCTCCTAGTATGAATCGTTTTCAAGAAGCGAGAGCAAGATCTAAAAAGTCAGCCAATCTAACAGTGACGTCATCCCACAATCCTCATCTCGCTCCATATGCGACCTCCTTTGTAAATCACTTGCGGGTCTTAAGTGCCACTTAAGATTATCGCACAAAATTTATAATTGAATCAATTAAGTTGTCAGATCCTCATGCGTCGAAACCGATATATATATATATATATATATATATATATATATATATATATATATAATATAGAAAATATATGCAATATTGTCCAATCGTTAGATTAAGCTCTGAACCGTTGGATCTTAAAAATGATTAACGATATCTTACTGGAATTATCCTAGGTTTTTCTAACACTATTAGGCTCTACTTTGATCAGAAAGAATATATAATTACTCTCCAAGATTAAAAGAAGAATCAGGATGGAATCGATTATAAACAATCATAGAAGCTCATGATCGGAAGCTCATGAAAAGTTGAAATAAATTTCAATTATATATATATATATATATATATATATATATAATTCCAGGATAATTTTCTAACTTATTCAAGATGATTTTCGCCCCGTCTAACATTCTGTCTTTGAGTAACAAAGTCCTCACACTTTTCAGTACGATTTCATTTTCAAGTCTTTTTCAATGTTTTATTTTATTTTATTTTATTTATTTTATTTATTTTATTTATTTTTTTTTTTTGTGGACTGTCATAGCTGAAATTCCTCTCTCGCATGCCAAAAGCCTTATGGATTGGGTTGGATCTTTTCTAATTGATCTCTTTAGCTCTAAGTTAAAATAATGATATCTCTTCCTATTGTGACCTACTTATTTAGTTTTCCTCTCTACTGTTCCCTCATTTTTAAACTTATTCACCGTCCCCTGGTGGTTCTTGATGAAAACCAGAGTCTGAATATTTGTACCATTACTGAAAGCCTGAATGATCTTTTTCCTTTTACTATTGCCCAGTTGTTAAAATATAGTGTGGCTGATACAAAACGATTTTAACCTGTTCTCTTTCTAGCTGATTAACTCAAAGTTTTTTTTTAGTGATTCTTACGACAAATGGTGTCTGATCTGAAATCTCAAAAAAAAGAAACTCCATTCGTTTAGTGTGTTTTCAGATATTAAACATTTTGTAACATAGACAATTATCCTATGCTGTTACACGATTTGGACAATTTTACTGCTACACCTGGTATGCACACACACACACACACATATATATATATATATATATATATATATATATATATATATATATATATATATATATATGACAAAGTGTCGTACATCTTTCCCCACCAAATTGTTCTTGATATATATCAATTTATATATTGTTCTCTCCCAGGTAGATAGATATAAAAAAAGCCTGCCAAGTGGCTGAAGAAAAAACTAATAAAATTAAAAAACAAGCAACCAATAAAAAAAAACAAAGAAAAAACGATAGAAGTCATCAACAAATGACAGACACATAACTGGACAGTAATATACAGACTAAAAGACTATTTTTCTTAAAATAAATTGACTTCTCTTCCGTTGATGAAAAACCGTTCACTAAATTCCTAATAAACTTATGTCATCTCTCTAAAAATCATAATATATAAATTATATATAAATTATATTATATGTTTTTAGGGGATATTATTATGCTTTTTGTCTCATAGCATAGCATTCTGATGGTGTGTGATGATCTCATTCTATATGAATCACGATATATATATATATATATATATATATATATATATATATATATATATATATATATAAAAGCTAAGAAAACGGAGATATCTTTATATAGAGAACACAATATTAAAAATATTAAAATAATACTAAAAATAGTGCGTTAATAATATTATTTGAAAAGATTACTTGTAAATATCAATTTTAGCTCGACTTCGAAGTTTCTTGGTAACATTTCCAATCTTCAGAAGTTGTGGTTTTAAACGGTGTCTCCAATTTTTTTCAGCGTCTTATTCAATCCGCTTTTGTTCCGTTTTGTATACGTATGTATTCATTTAACGTTCTTTTACACAGGCAAATTCATGAAAATTTTACGTTTTTTATTATAATATATATATATATATATATATATATATATATATATATATATATAATTTGGCTGAAGGCCACCGAAACGTCTGC